TAAGTTCGTGTGTCCACATTACATCGATTGTCATTATCAATCCAAATATAGATTCCAGAAACGTAATGTAAAATATAAATATAATCATTAAGTCCAATTCTACCTCCCAGCCTCTGGAAGTGAAGCTAGAAGATCAAGCTCTTGGTTGCCCTGTCCAGCTTGCCATATGACTTATTCATTCTGTTGAGATCAAAACATATCATAAAATTCTCTCAACAAGCTGATCACATAAGAGTAATTTTTCTCCTTTCTTTTTTTACCGGAGAGCCATTGAAACCAGTTTGTTTGGCAAAATTCATCTTTCTTAACCTCTGTACCTTCAAAAATTGTTTATTTCTGGCCTAGAAAGAGATTCATGTACAAAACTGATAAAACAGTAACTCGAAGCTAGTTTTGATTACAGCAGCTTTGTCTTTGATGAGCCCAAATACAGGTAGAAAAACTTGGGCAAAACCCTCTAACTCACTCACCTTGGTCTTTGCCCAGAACAAAAGGATCCCATGTCAGCGATGAAGGCAGGGATTTAGTAGTAGTGAATCAGTCTGTAAAACAAATGAATGAACAAATTAATCAATTAATTAACAAAACAATCAATCCATCAATCAGTAAGTTAGTCAGTCAACCAATCAGGCTGTCAATCTCCCAAATTTCAATTAATGAATGAATTGCATCATTCTGATGATCTATTCGTTGACTAATTAATCTTTCAGTCTGTCAGTGCCCTTGCATTAATGTCATACAACCACTCATCTGTCCAAACAAGACTACAGTGACTGACAAACCATGCAAGACAATATTGACTGCAACAATAATTATACAGTAAATTAATGGCTATTTTCTAAATGATAAATTTTAATGCTGAAACGCTCTCTTTCCTGAAAGAGCAAAAGTTATGTGCTGGCAACCGTTAAAGTGCAAACCACTCCTGCACAAAATTGGACAACCATTCAACAAATGAAAATTTAGCTACCAGTTTTCTCGTCCAAAGAAATATGAATATTGACATACGGCACAACAAGTTTTTCAGTTTCCATGACTACCTTATGCCAGGAGCTATATACTTTGCAATAATCGAAAGATTCCGTTGAAATTTTAATTTTTTTTGAGTTTTTTTTCTTAATTCATAAACATACTGAGATATACTTATTTTTTTCCTAAAAAACCTTGTGGTATTTATTACACATTTTATTAAGAGGCGATGGCATTCCATAGGGCGAGGATTGACGACATATTGACTAGACTTCTACATTTACCTTGACCCAAGTAAAATATAACACGATTTACTCAGCAAACCGTTTGTAAGTCGGCTGTCAAACTTTGAGCGGCACTAATAAAAAAATGAAACATTGCCTAATGACAACCGCTCGGCGTCAATCCGCACTTCGAAACACAACTCGAAATCGAATCAAACTCGAATAATTCATGTAAGTTACGCGTCGTCTTAAAATAAACCTAAGCAAGAGCTGCACCCAAATAAATGTCCTTTAACTGCACAATCTTTATCATTTCGATGCAAAATATTCATAATTATGATCAAGGATTACCGATGCGGTCAAGCAAACAATTTTTCTGTCAGTCAACCCCTGAAACACAAAGGCACTGTTACTTAGTATGCCTTAATCCGGGCACTTATATCAGACAAGCGATAATTGACATAATTTTCCGTTTTGGAATTGATTCACGTCTGATACTTCTTCCGAAGTAGAGGGATTATTGAAAAAAGCGTGCTCAGCAACGCGCCAAAG